TGCTTTTGAAATTCCTCCACTGCCCCCCGTTTATCCCAGCTTGAGCACTCATCACACACACACACACACACACACACACACACACACACACACACACACACACACACACAACTAACACTCCCTGTTGCCCGTGCAGGCGGTGAGGAGGGCCTGCTGCCGTCGCGTGTGGATCGCGCTGTGCACGAATTTCCCGCCGGAGACGACGTAGACGACCACGACATGCGGGAGGTCAACACAACCATCCAGCCAGACGAGGTAGCGTGGCGTGGCATTGCTTGCATAGGGGCCGGGAGGTTCCACGGTTGCTTGCAAGCATGATGATTGGGGATTTGCAGGGTGGTCGCTGTTGTTTGTGCTGCCTACATTCAGCTCACCCTGCCTCTGCACTGTGGGCATCATCATAATCACCACCCCATCACCACACCACCATTACGGCTCCTTGGGTGGTTGCGGGGTGACCAGGTGACGGTTGCACAGCTGCCGTTTGCTCAGCACGCCCTCCTCCCTGGTGACGCCGAGCCCGCAGCGGAATTCCCAGGCGTCTCCCGCGCTCTCCAGGCCGAAATCATGCAGGTGTGTGTGTGTGTGTGTGTGTGTGTGTGTGTGTGTGTGTGTGTGTGTGTGTGTGTGTGTGTGTGTGTGTGTGTGTGTGTGTGTCTGACATGGCAATGCATTTTTGGTGCAACGGAGATGAATGCGTACCCGCACACATCCGTTGTTCACTCTGCTCTCCGTTCACGTCACACGCATGCGTGTGTATCAATATTGGTACACTGCAGGCTGCCTTCCGCCCCGTTGTGACGGACGACGACCTGCGGGAGATGAAGGTCCCTGCTGCGCTGCTGCCACTGCCGCCGGGACCAGGCGTGCTCAGGAAGGACATCGAGTTGCAAGACGCGTTCGCAGCATCACGGGTTCGTGCACACACGCACACACTCGCACATGTATATATGGTGGTGCGTTGTCGTGCGTCCATGTGTTTCTGGTTCGTGGTCGTGTTTTGTTCTCCGCCCTGCTCACAATCCGTTTGTGAATGCACGTGTGTCCATTGCAGGTCACATTGCAGTTCTTGGCACTGGAGTGGTTGCTACCTGACCATACGCGTCAGCACCTGCCTGGCGTACTTCCAAGGTGAGCTGCTTCGCTTGAGTCTTCAACAATAACACGGACGTCATAAAAGCCATTCATTTCCACCTTCACACACTTCGCCTGCTTTCTTTCTTCTTTTCTTGTGTTGACTGTTCATATTTCTCCACCAACTTACACGCACACTCACACACTCACACACTCACTCATGCGCGCGCATGTGTGCAGGCACCCAGCCCAGAGCATCGCTGTGTCGTTCAAACTGCACAAACTGCCTACATTTGTGTCCATGCCGCTGCGATTTTCGACAGCTTCGTCGGCCCCGGGAATGACGCGCACTGAGGACACACGCACGGCGGGCGTGCTGTTCGCCGTGGAGGTGCGCCCGCTGCTGCTGCTGCTGCTGCTGCTGCTGCTGCTGCTGCTGCGAGAATTTGATGACAGGAAGGAGAAGGGAGAAGCTTACTGCTATCGGCCATTGCGCGCTCATATCACCTTCGATCCCTTTCCTCCCTTCAACCACCGCCCTCACCATGTACACTGTAACTCCACCGCCCCCCCCCCTTTACAACACCAGGGAAACAACGCGCTTGCGTCGTCGCCCGGGCTGTTGGCGGCGTTCTCACTCGATCCTGCACAGCTCGGCGTGTCACAAGAACAGCTGCTGGAGTACTCTGGTGACGCGGTATGTCGTGAGGCGGCGACGACGGGGGATGTGAATGAAAGGGCAAGAGGGGTGCTGGTGTGTGTGTGTGTGTGTTTGTTTTGGGGTAGCGTACTTGTTGCTTAACTCGGATAGCATGTTTGAGAGCAAGCAGCAGCACTCACTTCCAACATCCGTCTTACTCCACCCGTGCCCACACACACACACACACACACACACACTCTCTCTCTCTCTCAAACACACACACACACACACGCATGCAGGCGCTTGAGATCCATGTTGTTGATGCGGACTCGTTGATGCCAGTTGGCGTTGCATCCATGAAGCTCTCGTGTTTCCTGCGCGGAGGTGAGGGAACAACATGAATGTGATCGCGTGTGGTGTGTATTGCAAGATGCGTGCGGCGAGTGGCGCCCTGTTGCCTCGTCAACACTATCAAACCCACTCGAATCCATCCTCGCTACTTGTGCTCACACCACACACGCTCGTTCACGCCTCCACTGTCTAATTCTCTGTTATCCCCAATGATCACCACCACCATCACCCAAATCACCACCACCACCACCATCACTGCTCCACGACCACCACCACCACCACCACCACCACCACCACCACCACGACGACGACGACGACGACGACCACCACCACCACCACGACGCACCATCAGGGTATCGCGGTGTTCAGTCGAGTCTTGAGCTCGATGTTGTCAACACACACGCGGATCCAGACCGCATCAACTTTGCACACCCCAGGTGAACAAACGCACGTGTTTGTGTGTGTGTGTGTGTGTGTGTGTGTGTGTGTGTGTGTGTGTGTGTGTGTGTGTGTGTGTGTGTGTGTGCGTGTGGGCTACTACTCGCTCCTCCCCTGCGCCCAAGCGCATTCTCTGCCTCACGCACTTGCTTCACTGTCATGTTGAACATGACACATCCACCCGCACGCGGTTCTGGACAACAGGGCACGAACAGCCGCTGTGTCGGCGCCACAGACGGTTGCAAAGCTGTGTGTACGTGTGTCCAGCATCGGCCAAACATCGCGCCCGCCGCCAAATGTGAACCGTCTCCTCATCCCAAAGGCCGCCCTTCCAGATAGCGCAGTGAGTAATGAAGATGGAGAGAAGCGTCGCGTGTGTGTGTGTGCGCGCGCATGTGTGCGTGCGTGTGTGTGTGTGTGTAGCTGTGTGTGTGTGTGTGTAGCTGTGTGTGTGTGTGTGTGTAGCTGTGTGTGTGTGTGTAGCTGTGTGTAGCTGTGTGTGTGTGTGTGTACTTGTGCAGGTGCGGAGTGTTGGTTTCACGCCATACAAACCAATATGCGACGTCCTCACCCACCCACCTCACTCAAATATCTGGACCGCCCATCAGCTGATCAACCCGATGTCAGGCCAGACGTCGCACCACCGCGCCCAGCCGGCTGCCAAACTCATCGCTGACGACCCGCGAGCACGCGCCGTCCTCCACAGTACGCGCTGCAGTGCTCTTTGTACGTGTCCTCTTGCGTGTTGTGGATGGTGTGGCGTGTGCTGTGTGTGTGTGTGTGTGTGTGTGTGTGTGTGTGTGTTGCAGGCTCTTTGTTTCCCCATGCGAGTGTTTGAAGAGTGTACGTGATACAACAAGCATGGTGTCCTCTGCTTACCTTCAGCTGTGTGTGTATGTGTGTATGTGTGTGTTTGTGTTGTTTTGTTTGCAGGGGAAGTCAGTGATCCCGAGCAGGAACGAAAAGCCGCCCGTCTCCGCGCCATTCGCGCAAAGCGGCGCGATCTCTTCAACGGTACTCCACTTGACACAGCTACACACACACACACACACACAGCTCTCCACACACACGCGCGCAGAGCTATAGACACACACACACACACACATACACCTGCACGCGCACACACACACGCGCGCGCGCACGTGCTTGTCCAGTTCTCACTCATGCTTATTGGCACCGTCGTCGTTGACAGACCAAAACACACCGGGTGTTTCTGGGAGCGCCAAGCCCCAGCCAACACAGGTGCGCATGTTTGCACTGCGGTGCTGTGCTATGGACAAACCAGCAGCCCTTGAGTCCACTTGGACAACAGACACACACGCACACGCACACACACACACACACACCTCATCTCACACCTCATCTCATTCAATGCCCCGTGTGCACGTGTTTACCGTTTTCTTACCTTCCCCCCTCCCCCGCCCGTAATTATCAGGTGCCCCTGCCGCTGCGTTCGCCGGCTGTGAATGTCCGCGATAGCAGCGATCTCCTGGCCCTGAACGAATACAGGTGCGACCAGACTGTGCTCGTGTGCTCGTGTGCTCATGTACTGTTTGCGTGGGCATGTGCTGTGCAAACATGTTGTGCAATGTGGCTTACCCGTGCACTTGTTGCCTGTCGCCCTACAGATTACGGCAGAAGCGTGCTGTCATCCAACATGCGCTGGAGCGGTCCCTTCGCACATCCGTGGACATTTTCGCCGCTTATGGCTCCAAAGTGTACATGGAGGTGCGAATGCAATCGTCGCGTGTATTCGCTGCGTCCTGTGTCTTCTCTGTCCTTGCACAATGCGCATTGCTGTGCACAAACACACACACACACACACCCGCACACACGCACACACAGACACACACACACACGTTCCCGCACACACACACACTCCCACACACACACACACACACACACACACACACACACACACACACACACACACACACACATTTCCCCACACACACACTCCCACACACACTCCCACACACACATACACACATTATACACGGCCGCTGACGGCATGTTTGGTTGTTGTTCCTCGACTTGTCAGGTGGTTGCATGTCTCGGGAGCTCACTGAACCCAAGTCACATCAGCTGTTACGCCCACAGCGATGTCAGCATCGCCATCGACCCAGAGCGGACGTTTGCGTGCACG